TTTAATGATTTCATCTTGCTTCCCTTGTTGGACTATTAGTTATAGTTTCTCCTGTTTTTAGAGAGTCACAGTATATATTTTATCTTTTCAAAGTCTATTTTTTTTTATTTTTTTTTTTTAAGATTTTATTTATTTGCGAGAGAGAGAATGAGAGACAGAGAGCATGAGAGGGAGGAGGGTCAGAGGGAGAAGCAGACTCCCTGCTGAGCAGGGAGCCTGATGTGGGACTCGATCCCAGGACTCCAGGATCATGACCTGAGCCGAAGGCAGTCGCTTAACCAACTGAGCCACCCAGGTGCCCTCAAAGTCTATTTTTAAGTGATATTATTTTTTCTTCCTTCTTATATATTTTATATATAATACATAAATATATTTTATATAAAAAATATAATTTTACTTCTTTTTTGCATGCTAATTGCTTTTGACTAGATGTTAGATAATAAAAATTTTACCTGTTGGATCCTGGGTACTTGTATGCCTATAAGTGTTTTTGAGTTTTGTATCAGGATGCAGTTTAATGACTTTGAAAGAGTTTCATTCCTTTTTTTTTTTTAAGGTGTATTTATTTATTTGAGAGAGAGAGGGAGTGGGGGGAAGAGGAAGAGGGCAGAGGGAGAAGAACATAGAGAATCTCAAGCAGATTCCCCAGTATGGAGCCTGAGGCAGGGCTCGATCTTAAGATCCTGAGATCATGACCTGAGCCAAAATCAAGAGTCAGATGCTGAACCAACTGAGCTACCCAGGTGCCCTGAAAGAGTTTGATTCTTTCAGTTCTTGCTTTTACAGTTTTGGGGCAAGACTAGAATGGCATTCATTTAGTCTTAATTTTACTCCATTACTAAGGCAAATCATTCTTAATACTCTGGCACATGCCCTGTGACTATGAGGGTTTCTCCTGAGGCTGATGGGAAAAGGAACTATTGCCAGCTATGTGTGAGCTCCAGGAATTGTTCCCTGTAATTTTTTTGGATGGTTCCTTCTGCTTAAGACCTGAGAAGATCCCTCTGCAGATGTCTACAGCTCTCTCTCTGTAGCTCCCTCCTCTCTAGTACTCTGTCCTATAGCAGCTTTAGCTGCCTTGGCCTCCTCAGACTCCCAGACCTGTCTCTTCCACTCAGCGACACTGCCAGGTTCTGCATAGACTTCCTTTCTGTACACTGTGCCCTGGAAACACTAGACAAAAATGTGGGTAACCATCGAATCACTTCATTCATTTCACATCTCTTCATTGCCTCATATTCAAGGTTAAAAATTGTGATATTGTCCAGTTTTTTAGTTGTTTCACATATGAGGGTAAATCTGGTCCCTTACTTTATCTTGGCTGAAAGTGGAAGTCTGCCGATTATTATTTTAAGCAGAAGAAGGCCTACAGCCTTCATCAGGGAGTTATGGTCTTTTCACCAAAAATCAGGAAACACTGTTCTGAGTGGATTTATAGATTATTGGTAGGGATTATTGTTGTTAGTATGGACTGTCTTACACATTTTAATTTTCATCTATTGTAGGAAGTGATATTTAAACTGTTAAAGTAATAAAAATCCTGATTCTCTACAATAAATACATAATAAATTTGGAATGCTATTTTGGCAGATGGGATGACTTAAGGTAATACAAATGGGTAGTATTGTCAGTCAAGAAATGGGCCTGAGTCAATGAAAGGTGTAAAAGGAAGAAAGTTGAAGTTTCTTTGGCTCACAAAGAAAGAAGAGAGGAGACTAGGGGAAAAAAAACAACATACAAATCAAATGAAAATTAGAATTAAAGCTTGAAAAGTACGGACAGAGATCAGTTTTACAGGTAACACACACACATAAACACACAAAGTAAGTCTGGGTGAAGAATTTAAATATATGAAGAACAACTGTAATGTCAAATAATTATGCAATTTCAAAATCTTGATAAGGGAGAAAGATGTTTTTGGGAATTTAATACAAGATCTCTTGCTTTCTTGCAACTTTTAAAAAAGAGACAAATATATTCATTATTTACCTAGTTGGGGTAATAGAGAAGTCTGTTTGACATTTATACACTTACCTGAATTTTTCTGAATATAATGGGAAGGTTTTCCATATTTTTGTCAGTGTTAACTATAAGAGGGAAGGCAGTAATTACCTGTGAATATTACCTAGTCTATAGTTATTTGTACATTTGTATTATCTTTCTAGCTATGCTTTTTCAGAAGGGGGAAGGGATCTTATTCACTTCTGAATATCTAATATTGACTACTATAGAGCATCACATAGAGGAAGTTCACTTTTTTAACAAATACTACGAAGTACCTATTAAATCCTAGGTACCACGTGGGACTTTAGGAATGCAAAGGTGAGCAGAAATTGGCTATGTGGCTGCTTTCTGCAGACCACTGGAGAAGGCTAATAGTAATCAAATCATCACACAAACAAATATAAATTGAACAATAAGGAGCATAGCAGTGCATGTATGATTAAGTGACATCTCTTATATAAGCTATTTCCAAAGTGACCAATGAAGAAAATTCTATAACGTGGTGATTGAATCAGAGCTTCTAATTCTCAGTATCAGAACCTAGCCCACATTTTTAGAACCCACTTTATCTAATACTTCATACAGAATTTCCCTAAGAAATAACTTTTAAAGAAAAGAGTATACCACAGGGTACTTCACATCATGTTTTAGAACTTGGAAGCATTGTCTCTATCAGACAAAAAGAAAGGTCAGAAGGTTTCTTCATGGTCTCATGAAGGTGAATATTCTTATGGAAATGTAACAGTACTCAAAGCTATTTTGTGGGAACATGAACACCGATAATGAATATAGATATAACTCTAAACTAAATGCCAGAATAAAACAAAATTTATGAAATAAAGCATGTACTCACTCATTTACCAAATATCCATCAAACATCTACCATGTGCAAGTATGTCCCAGGCCTTGGAAACCTAGCAGTGATAGTCCCTGTGCACACGAAGGGGGAGGCATGAGGGCGGAGACATATGATAGAAAGCAAACAGACTACTCAGAGACTTCTGATTCTCTGTATCAGCAGCCTCCCACAATGGTCAAATACTTGCCTGCCCATCAAAGCAACTTGGACTCTTTATCTAACCAACAGATATCAGAAGCAAGAAATATCTCCAACTTAATGAAGTACCCTGTGCTTACTGTATTGTTGGCGTTAGTCCCATTCTCTTCTATCCTTTTCTTGACAGTTATTTTTAACCTTGTTTAGCACAGAAGACCGTATTTGCTACCTCCATCATTCTAAACAACCTACACATTCAGCAGCTAACTTAAAGAAAAGGGGAGACTTTTCCCTATCTGCAATTTATATCTACTTCTATGTATTATCTTGGGCCTCTAAGAAGTAGCCAGGGTTTTAAAGTGAAAGCTTACCTTTACCACAGAAGCAGGATAAAAATGTCTACATCTAGTCCACAGAGATCTAGTCCTGTATCCCTGATCATATGATTTCAAATAAATCCCCAAAGAAAGCCATTTTTGTCTCCTCCAAAGCAGTTTGAATGCTTCCCAAATGTCAAAGCTTCTCCAGCTGCAGATGGTTTTTATATAAGTTTTATTATGGTCACTACCATGCTTACAGACTTCAAACCATAGAGTAAAAAATAACCTCTTTTGACCTTCCCAACACTCAGAAAGAAAGAGGAAAGAAAGAAAGAAAGAAAGAAAGAAAGAAAGAAAGAAAGAAAGAAAGAAAGAAAGAAAAAGAAAGAAAGAAAGAAAAAGAAAGAAAGAAAGAAAGAAAGAAAAAAGAAAACAAACACTCCAGCTAAATAGCTTCAAAACAAACAGGTCATTTCAAGAAAAGACATCCAATTATATAGACTCTGATTACTGGTAATAACTTGGAAGTCTTAAGAAATTTAACAACTTCAGCTCAAAATAATTAAACTGAACTGTTAAGGATAAAATCACCACCTAGACTCAACATAGCTACAGATGCAGAAAGAGTAAGAAGGCTTACTGATTCATTGTCCCTTCTGTTGCCAGTCCCCAATGCCAAATGAATCAGATAGCAAATATTAACGCTTTTTTAAAATTAGAATTCATAGGAGAAGGCTTTTTTTTTTTTTTTGGTCCTCTTTTTTTTTGTAGCAAGATTATTACATTTGATTTTTCAATTTTGAATCTTGGACTTTTCAAAGACATAGAACTGATAACATAAACACATAAGAAAAACTTTCCATTCCATGTATGTATGTATGTACTTCATTTATGTAAGTCAAACATGAGACTTAGGCCTTCAACTAATGGACATTGACTTCAACGTCTTTTGAGGAATGTAATCATTTTATCAATAAACCTCTTCCCTTAAGGGTATGAAGGTTTTCTGGACAAGGGCTTGTTCTATATTATTATTATTAAACAAGTCTGACTGTCACATTTATTTCTTTCATGTAGCAACAGCTTGAACTTACAATTAACTTGGAAAATTCTTAAAAGGGATCCCTACCCCTACCTTGAACACTGCATTAAAACTCAAAGAGGAAACTTGCTACCTCTCAGCAACACACCTCTATCAGAAGGAGCTCCAAGAAGGAACAGTGGAGTTTGTTGAATAAATAGTGTTGACTCATTATGTAATGAAAAGGTAAGCAGTATACTTTGTCTTTACCTTATCTGTAAAGCATACACATTGCTACATATGCTTTCAGAGTGGAAAGCCACCTTCTAACAAAATCTTCATGGGGTATTGTATGATTAAAGAATATCATTGGTGAAGGAATGATTGAAGGAATTAATGGCTTAGTTTGGTAAGATTAAGGGAAATCTTCATGTGATTTTTTTGAAAGACAGTGAGATACACTGAAACACTTCTTATTAGTAAGCAAATAAATCTCTGTGCTATGACAAAGGAAGTTTCATTGAGTGGTGGAAGATACCTATCCCTTTAGTTTGCAAAACCACTTGTAAGATGAATACATTTTCCAAGCCCTGAAATATTTTTTTTTCTGAGAAAAATTAGAGACCATTATGCTTAAAAGAAAAAAAAAATCACTCACAGACTCCTTTCCCATCTTCTTTCGTAGCCGTGTTTGCCACTGGACAGCCTGCATGACAATGGCTTCCCACCTTCTTTCAAGATTTACAATGATCAGTTGCATGGGCTGGTGGTCTGCGTTCAGATTGCAAGTCTCCCGGTCATCTAGAAGATGCTGGCATAATCGCAGGACGGAGGCCACTCCACGACGTCGCTGCTTGATTTCACCACAGAGGGACTGCAACAAAGAGAGGGATCGATTCATGGGTGTTTATAGAGCAGAAATCCCTAAAACATGAAACGCCTTCTTCCACCATAATTTCAAATTGTAGTGATATACTTGGCAATGAACAATAAGACAAGAAGGGCTCTGGTTGTCTTTAGATTGGAGACCTCCTATTGATACTCAACTAATGCCAAAGAATTTAGCTGCATCCCATTCCTCTTCCCTTTTTATACTGATTTGTCCATCTAAAATGCTGGGTCCCACCTTGACACCTAGGTGATTAACAATTTATAACTTAATGAAATAAATCATGTAGGTCATGGGAATGCCAAACAGATTGACATGCTTTGATTCCGGGTCACAGGAAACACAAAAGATAGAAAAGTGCCCCGAAAGGACATGGAATTTTCCCAAATTTACTCCTAGATTTTTTGGAGCCAAAAGTTCAGTTTTCTACTGGCTGGGAAAAAGTTAAATAAGATTGCCAAGAATTTTGATATATAACATCTATTATTGGGGGAAAAAGGGATAATCAACATTTCTCTTCCAAAGCTTGATTAACAAAGCAATAATGTTCTGAAAACAGAAATTAGGATACCGGATTATTATTGCACTACTTGTTGGTTGCTGTTTCCTTTAATAGACATTCACACAATTTAAGAAGGATATGCATGCCTCAAAATAGCATTTTGCCCCCAGAAGCATTTGTATTGCTGCAGTGACCCTAAGCTGAACAATTCAAGCAAAATAGTGGGTACACATGTCTAAAAATATTATATCTTTTCTTTGCCTATGGATAGTGTGTGATATTCTAATTTGAAGCCTTCAGGAGAAATGATGATTATATCCACAAACATCACTGAATTACTAATCTCCTTCGACTGCTACAATTGGACTGCTCTAACAGTTAACAGATTGCTTATTAATCAACAAGGGTAAACAAGACAATGCAATTTCATTTAGTGCGAGAGTTTTAATGCCTAAAAGTATCTGTGCTTAAAATGTTAATCTAGATAAGGCTTCATTAGAAGAAGTCTTAAAATGATTAAGTGCAGTTCATTGAAATGTGCACAGAGCGGTAGTAGATCAGCAGGTGGACATTTCATACAGATGTTCTGCTTATTGATATAATACATGCTATAGCCATTTAAATGACCCTAACTCAGTAATAGCTGAAATTCTATTATTTCTGTAATGAGAGAACACTGTACCTTTAATATTTCTGAATTTTAAATAAGGTGAATGACAAATACCCAAACCTCTATTTATGGCAAAATATGACTAGGAATTTTATTATTCAATTTATACCAGTGCAGCATTTTTAGTTATGTTTCCTGAACTTACCCTTATTTATTTTCCTAGCATTCATTATCATTTTCCTACATAACTCCTGATATAACCACTAGGTCTGACAAATTTCTTTACTGATGATATTCATTTGTTCAGTGCAGAATGAAGAGGAAACCTCTGGATATTCAAAGATAAAACTTGAGGGCCGACTAAAGCAAAAAGCATTGTTTCCATCCCCTCCTCCAATACAGCTACCTCCCCACTCCTAAATGCATTCTCTCTCTTTCTCTCTGTCTCTCTCTCCCTCTCTCACACACACACACCCTTCAATTTCCTCTCTTGCTCTAGAACTTGAGCAAGTCAAACTATCAAGTCAAATTAATTCCTGCCAAATTTCGGTCCATATTAACACTTCAAAATAATAATGTAGCCAACTGAAATTGGTTGAAGTGAGTCCTGTGAATAGGAATATTGAGGATTCCATTTTTCATTTTTGTGTTGCTATAAATTTGTTTAAAATACAGGGTTAGGAAAATCAAAAGTGTTATTTCCATGCCATAAAATGGGATCTTGCAAAACTCTCTTTGCAGTTGACTAGACTAATAACTGCATTCCTCAAGCCAGCAAAAAGTCCCAATGTTTCTTAGCCAAGTGAAAATTTGCCAGGGACAGCACTAACAGTATGTGTGGGGTTAGAATGGCCTCACTGGTAACATTTACAAAGTAGCCCAAATGGGCTTCATTCACCTCACAGGCACTTTCAAAGTTCTGAAACAGGACATGTGAGATCACTAGGGGAAATTTTCATAAAGGTCATTGGCCATAATTTTTTTATGAGTATCTAGAATGTATCCAGTATTTAAGTAACCAGATGATCCCCAACTCACATCTTAATGTGAGTCAGTCCAGGTAGTTTAAAAACCATGAAAGCTGTTTTTGACATTCAGTATCAGATTTGATGGGATGTTAACATTCACTATCTAATTTTTGGATCTTCACAATCTTACAATTTTTTTTTACTTTAAATATCCAAAGAACTTAGTCTATATCCTGGATTGATAATTTATCCTATATGCACACAGGGAAATAACAGTACTTTGAAAAGGAGGTGAAAATTGAGAATTTTAAATGGTCAACATATTTTTTGACACTTTTTTATATCTAGGAGATATAACTGATAAAATAACATTCTTCTATATATATGGGTTTCCATGACAACCATTAAAATATACATATTTATTTATAATCACAAACACATACTAAATAAAGATTTTTTTTTAATTTATTTATTTGAGAGAGAGAAAGAGAGAGAGAGCATGAGAGGAGGGAGGTTCAGAGAGAGAAGCAGACTCCCTGCCGAGCAGGGAGCCCGATGCGGGACTCGATCCTGGTACTCCAGGATCATGACCTGAGCCGAAAGCAGTCGCTTAACCAACTGAGCCACCCAGGCACCCCAAACACATACTAAATAAAACCAATGCATTTGCTGGCAATGTTTCTTAGAATCAGTAGCTTACATTATTTCCATGATAAACTATGCACAGAGAAATGTTAAATATAACTATACAGGAACAAGTAAGTATTGTAACTATTTCTAGCTTACATTTTCAGAGGAAAGTACTTTAAAACAGAAACCCAAACTAAACAATCTAAGACAGACGCTGAAATAAGATAAACTCATCCCTGTCTCTCAGACCTCCTCAAATGTACCCTACACCTTCCATCTGCTAGGCACTGTTTCAGGCACTGAGGCTTCAAAAAGGAGCAAGTTACTGCTCCTTCTCTCAAGGAGCTGAGAGTCTGTGGAAGGTGGACGATACAAGTAAGTGTGGTAATGAGAGTAATGAATGTAGAGAGAGACAATTTAACAGAAGTTCGTGCAAGTTGCTATTGGAGGAGTTGGTGAAATCTTCAGGGAAACAACGTTGAGCCAGATGGTCTAAGCTGAATGGTTGCAGTTCTCAAGACAGAAGGGTCGGGAAGCAAGTGTCCTGGGGCTATGGGGGCACCTAGAGTGTCAGGGAGAAGAGACAATGAAGCAGCTGGACGGGAAGTAAGGAACAGAAAAGTTTGGAATACTTTTCATTATTGTCAGTTTGGAAGCATTTTCCTTGATATCTCATGAGATCATGTTGGTTCCCAAGCATAGTCATACTGCGTTCACAGAAAAGTACAGAGATAAGAAGAGTCAAAGGAAATCTAAAAAGAAAGAGAAAATCTCCACTAATGATCAATATGTCTAAGAAAGAGATTCCAAATGCTTTTGTATGTAGTTGTCCTATTATTTGGTAACTGTTAGGCAATTTCTTCTTACAAGACTACCTCTGTTAGTACAGAGGTCTTTGTCTTATATCACTTCAGAATTCAGTTGTTGGAATATGGTTTGGGTGTGCTTCATTTAAATTTCTGATGAACTTTTTATTTGCTTTATTTTACATTTCTACTCAATTTCTTCATGTTATTAAAAAGGCAGGTTGGCTATGAGAAATGTTCTAGAAAAGTAAAATTTTAAATTTCGAAGTCAATTTTTTTTTCTTTTACAATAATCGGATCTCCAACCCTCTAAACATCTTTTTGGACGTGCTGCAATAGCGTTGCCAACAGGCGGGAGGTTTTTATATCACACTTATAAACTGTCAATCTGGTTTTCAATTCATCAATGGTGATGCAAAGGAGCGTTTTTGGTTTATCTGGGGGGTTTTCTTTCCTTTTTTTTTTTTTTAATGGGGGTTTTTCTTTTTCCTCTCCTTTCTCTGTCAACCTTTTTGACTGTTTAAAGCACTCTATTATTAAGCCAAATGTGATGTGACATCACTTTTGACACTGGCTTCAGTTTAACACTATGAAAGGTAAGACTTCCAATATTGGTATTTTATTTTTCATTATATATTAAACATAAACATATATATACACACACACACATATATACATATTGTACAACATGATTATAATTTTCTTGCATACCCATATTCTTGACATTAAACAATAATGTCATCTACTATCACAAAAGGATATAAATAAGTTTACAATCAAAGAACTATAATTAGACCAAAACCCAATTGCGCAATAAGTAAAATGTAAGAACCAAATAGAGAAAAGAGAGGTGAGGAAGAAAATACAATTTTAAAACTACCAAAACTAAGCATATGTTAAAAACAGAGAGAGAAAAACTCTGAGAAAACTCCAAAGCAATTTGTCTCTATATATCTTACATAATTATATTCAGCAGGTTAATGTAACATCATTAGGTAGGTCAATCTGAACAAAGTGATAGGACTTCAGGTGATCTGTCAACTAAAAACCATTTACAAAGCAATGCCATTTTTAAAGTCAAACATAACTTTATTTTCTATTTTTTTTAAAAGATTTTATTTATTTATTTGACAGAGAGAGACACAGTGAGTCTCAGAGAGGAGACACAAGCAGGGGGAGCGGGAGAGGGAGAAGCAGGCTTCCTGCGGAGCAGGGAGCCCGATGCGGGGCTCGATCCCAGGACCCTGGGATCATGACCTGAGCTGAAGGTAGACGCTTAACGACTGAGCCACCCAGGCACCCCTAAACATAACTTTATTTTCTAGATTGATCAATTGTTTAACAATATCTATTGAGTATGCCCTCTCTGTGGCAAGCACAGTAAAGAAGTTTCAACCTGCAAATATGGATACATACCTGCCTTTGATCTAGTTAGAGTAAGGAAATAACAGAGAGAGGGGAAAAAAGTG